TTTGCCTCTGACATATTCATCTTTCCCATGGATTGACCCACATGGTTCACCCCGTCCTTGCGAGGTGGCATGCGCTCGTTGATGCGGTCTAGGCCCTTGGCCTCCGCAAAGCTGGCGATCTTGTGCTGGGGGGAGAACCCGCGGATGGCTGAAAGGAGAAAACACATATAACGGTATCAGGCTCACCTTGAAGTGGCACAGTCTCAGAATATTCCTGATATCATGTCATATAGAGTATTTCCCCCCTAAAATAGCAATCAGGGTTACATACTACCGGTTAATGCCATTCAGTTATTGCTGCAATTTGAGACCTTTGAAACAGATTTGAAACAGATTCCTTGTGGCACTTCTTTGCCACACAAACAACATAAAAAAGCCAAAAACTGAGTTGTAAAAGTCCTTGCCTGCATGCGGCATAAGTGTTTAATTGAAAGGAGCTGCTTTTTTGTTTTTTGGAGGCATCATTGACATGTTATCTGCATGTATAAACTGCTGCTTACTGCTACAGGAGGTGCAGATTAACATTGTACAGTCCATCAACTCATACACTGTTTTTTTACACATTTAAAACTTAAAACTCCCTCAGTTTACTTACCCCACCCCAGCATTCAGTTCCAACAGAAAATACATTGAATAAGAGGAAAGATGTCCACAAAGTCCTGTGACTTGAAGCATTTGTATCATTTGTTTTCTAAATGATCCAAAAATGCAGCCAACTAACTAATCCACATTGTGATAAACAAAAGACACATTCCTAAACAATGAATGTCTACAACTATGTAAGATATACTGTACATGTCAATTAAAATAGATATTTGTGTTAGTACTGTAAATTACTGTCTAATAACCGAAGCTTCCTGGTTAGTGAGCAATGATTACCTTCGACATATCATGAGGACCTGAGGCTTCATGATGCGTATTTCATGTCGATGCTCTGGTCTGTTTCTTGTTCTTGGGCATGCAACACTTTTTTAGGACCAGATGGAGGCCATTTACAAGCCAAACCAAAAACAATGCATTATTGTAGTCATGCATCTCTTAGCAGCACTTGACTTTGCAGTGTTTTAATTTATCATGAATGTGCCTTAAAAAGCTGTTTTATTTTGCCTTTCCTTCCCTTTTTCTTCCAGTTTCTAATGACCAAATCCAAACAATCATTGTTGGTACTAAGCCTCTCTGTGTTGGTTTCGGCAGTGGGTGAGGGGCCTAGGACAATAGTGTATTAAGTGTGCAACATCCTGTGTTATCTCCCCACTTCCCCCTCCCTCCTCGGTACCTCGACCAAACAGTGACGAGAACACAATCCCTCACCAGCTCCCCACCCTGCAAGTACTGCTAATTGTGAGATGTTTTTCCTCTTTACAACTCAGGCACCCATTAGAAAAGAATAGCCATCCAGGCAATCCCGGGATCAAACTGTCCTGTGAAATGTTTGAGATGCTTGATGGGAGTTATTGTTGTGTGAGCTGTTGTGTGCATGAAGTGTTAGTGGCAGGTGACCTCTGCAGCACGACACCCTGACAATATGTGGAGGGGTGGAAGATGGGGCAAAGGTTTACCTTCTCCATCCTCATCAGTCGGCTCGATGGCTTCAATGGCTTCAATGGTGGCTGAGGGAGTGGAGGAGGGGAGCAGGTTACTCCCGATGAAGCCATGCAGATGTAAAATGCAGCCCCGGCGAACAGGCGGCTCATGTGAAGCCAGATGTGATATACATGTTCACTGGCAATGCAGCCAAACTCAGAGGAATATGCCATGCTTTAAATACTGAGAGAATTAGTGTCAATCATGGGTTAGGTATGAAAAATAAAAAAAATAGATCCAAAGAGAGAGGATAGATATATTGAGACAGAAAGAGTAATAGATTGAGCTGAGGCTGCAATAGACTTTAGGTAAGAGGACAAAAATGACTTGTTCTTACTTTGCACTAGATCTTTTAAGAGGATTTCACAAATTATTACATTTTGAAGTCAGTGTAAAATAATAGCTTGCTGTCAGCACACCAGTAGTGACACGTTGATATGAATCCCACCGCTTTTCTTGGCAAGAATCACCCTGTGTAGCATTCAAGTGCTAGGATTGGCCCGGCGTCCGTGCTCGGCAAGGTCACAGTAACCTGATTTGTTCAGCTCCTATGCCCTGACCAGTGAGCTATCCTGACCCTAACTACTCGAGGTCAATCTCGAACCTCAACCAATCGTCTCTGCAGGGTGGGTCTTACCAAGAAATGTAGTTGGATTCATAATTACGCAGTCGGGACCAACTGGAAATACTTTTTAACGCTGAATCCAATGGCTCTTTGTGGTTGCTTGTACTGCCAATCCCACTGTAAATCAGCATTGAACAATTGAGAAAACTACAGAGAGACTTTCTCACATTTGATTGACCAAGCTGTGTCCAGAATGTGATTGAATAGTAGACAAGTGAGAATTGGATTTACATGTTGTTCTGTGTCTGCTGGGTGTCTAAATATAGGCATTTGTAGGCTGACGCGTCAGCTGTAGCAACTTAGTTAGCCTATAGGGCTATGTTGGTGTGAGTTCTGCAGACAGAAATATGGAAAGGCAGTTTTGTTTTTTCTTCCATAGCTTAAATGTGGTTAGAGCATTGCTAAGAGGCTAAAAAACAAAGCTTGCATGGCTGCTCTACATTTAGAGTTCCAGGTACGGAAGTTAGAGCATCTTTAGCGTCCGTACTGTGATCATATCCACGTTAAACGGAGTATTTGAGGGTTGTACATGTGGGATTTACGTCAAATCCTGTGAATTTGATCTGAAGGCACAAAAGTGGGCGGGCAAAGAATGTTGCTCCGTACAGAGCTACAGAGGACTGCGGTCCCACACACTCCTCCCTTGTCGCTAAAAGCTGCAGATTGACTGATGGATGGATGTGGTGGTAGACCAATTGGAAAACACAAAGACATTCTTTTTTTTGTTATTTTTTGCATGTATTTTTAAATAGGTGCACAATATGACTAAAAGGGTTAAAGGGGCATTTTTCATTACATCTCAACTTTAAGTGACAGAAGGAAAGAGAGAAAGAGAGAGGTAAGGCCAATGGTAGGACTGAGAATGGTTATGAAAATAAGATGGAGTAGAGGGTAGAGGAAAGGCTTATGCTGATCCTTGTACTCACCACTCTGCAGTGTCTGTTTGCCTCCAGAGAGAACCCCACTCGGCAGCATGCCAGTGGGCGTCAGGCCTTTAAGTGTCAACACATTTTCACTCTCCTCTCTGCAGGAAACACACAGGCAGGCAAACAGGTCACAAAACTTCACTGAACCCGGATCACACTGGAGAAAAGAAACTTTGTGCCCCCATTGTGACAACAGTGGATGCACACACTCACACACATGCACAGACAGAAACACCTGATACCGTTTCAAAACGTGAAAATATGCAATCATACTGACATTCACATATACAAACATAAAGTCTACCTGAGAACTGAGAACATTTTGGCCATTTTCCCAATAGCACGGATCTTGTTCCTGATCACCTCCTTGCGTGCTGCAGCTGCATTGGCTGCAAAGAAATACATAGACATACTGTCATTATAGGCTTCTCTGATGCAACCGATGCACAAGCCTATATAATGCATGAGAAACTTGTCAATACATGTTTCTTGATGCATAAGCTACTGGGATAATAGTCACGTTTATTGTAAAGCACACTGTTATTATCGGCCATTGTAATGCATTAGACACTGTAATTATATGCCCATGTGACTCTATACTGCAGACTCATAGCCTCCATGTAGTGAATCAGAGATTCTCTGATGCAATAAACATTGTCTTAGTTATTTAAAGCAATACAGCACAAATCTGTATCTTTTTTTCTGATGAACCACACGATACTGTTACAGTTTTAATTTACAAGATCACGTGACAATTTACTGCATGTATTGTAACAACAATGGATTCAAGCCAGTGTAAAAAAAAAAAAAAAGGTGATGACATCATTAAAAGCACATGAAAGGAGAATGATTTCACGCCTGATTTTCTCTCATGCCTGTTAGTGATCAAACCTTTAAACAAGTTTGGCACAAGCAAAGGAAGCCCAAAATCCAGCCCAAGTATGCCGATCTCCTTCCATGAAAGACCTCCTACTGCCTGGAGTCTGAATGTAACCCACAATGCAAAGTATAAATGAGACATTATCAAGTAAGTATTTACAAAACGTCTTACCATCAAATATCTCATCTTCATCATTCATCATGAGTTCATCATCAGAGCAGATGCTCAGCACATTCACCAGCATTTCTGTGACTGGGGAAGAAATAGAGTAAGAGGGGAAGTCAATTGAGCGGTCAGCCACGAAGATGACGGATTAGGAGGTGATGTTGTATTAAAAACACCTGCCACATGTCAGAAGACGTTTGTTCTAGAAACGCTTGATACCTTTCTCTCCGACAAATGGCAGAGACCAGGTGAAGACGTCCATGAAGTTGGGCAGCCAGTAGGGATGTGGTGAGCAGTTGAACTGTCGGATGTTCATGACATTATTTTCATATTTCAGTACAGCAGCTGTCGGGGAAGAAGAAGAAGAAGAAGAAGAAGAAGAAGAAGAAGAAGAAGAGGGGAGACAGTAGAGTAACATTTAGTCCATATAGTCCCGTTAATAGCCTGCTACGAAATAATAATGCTACTTAAATAAAAATATTTAATAGTATCAGATGTCTTTTGCTAAAAAGAAAGTTATAATGTGGTATACAAATTCATAAATGCTCTCTTCAAATGTATTCATGCTCAGTGATGTTACCCTTTTTAATATTTTTTGTACATGCAGCATGTGTGAGAGCAGACACAGAGCAGAAAATGAGACATTTGACCACTAGATGGCCTAGCTGAGGCCAGGGATTGCTGACACTGTTACATCAAGAGGGATAAAGCCACATGGAGATAGTCAGCGATGCCGACAGTCCCTCCCACGCTCCCCATCTCCCATAGCCCATAGCAACCAAGACACAGATCTGAGAACACAAACAAACGGGGGCACCCTGATGCATTCTCATGCCTGCTCACAAGCTAGATGCAGATACATTAACCCGTACACTCCAGTTTGTGCTGTTAAAACCATTTTAATAGGTAAGTCAAAGGAGCCCATGGTAGTTATTTGTATCACTTGTGAAGTGTTTTTCATGAAAGCTACCCCAGATGCAGTAGAAAGGCCTCGAGATGCAGGTGTTGCAGAGATACTGCAATCGGAACATTTAATCTAACAGCAAAGTCATGTCTCAAAGCCTGCCTGTCTACTTTACATAGCCAGAGAAATGATATGATGTATCTATGGAAATATCCAGGAATGTTAATATTGGCTGGACCGCAGCAAAGCTCTATAAACGCGTTAGTCGGTCACTGAGTGAGTGATGAAGTTACACCATTGGTCGGTTGAGTTGGAGTTTCTCAATTGGCCATTGCTCTTTCAAAATGAGTCCAACTGTTTTTCCGTTGGTGACGTCTTTGCCTCAGCGATCAATCATCTGATCCACTTCCTCAATGAAATGTGATTTATTGTCTACCTTCTCTGTTAAATTATCATTTCTATAATATATTTTGTCATTTTTCTTGACTTTCTCTCATTTTGTTACATTGTTATTATTGTTATTATTGAGTTTCTTATGAATACCATATGTCCTGATACAATGATTAATCAATAATAAGAATGGATTCATATTTGTTGTGTTGTATCCCAGTTTCATTGTTTTTGCGTAGTGTGGGCGTAGCGAGTGTGTGGTTGAGCGAGAGGGAGAGAGTGTTGCTCTCGGCCCGGAGAGGAAATATTCAGTTTACTGCCGCTGACTATCCCACATTGAGCATACACGTTCAAGCCAAACACTAGGTCTCTGCCTAGTCTTGTTTGACATCGCTTAAAGGTGCAAAATATGAGATAAGGAGCATTTTCTATTGCCCCTCAACGGCTCTCAACATGTTGACATGTTGAGCCGGCGGCTCGCAGCTAACGGTGCCAACAGTACAAACATCAGCACAGTGCTGTCAGAGTTAACGGTGTTTACCTGAGAGGGAACCGGACACTTACGTTATGACATCGTCGGTCCAGATAGCATTATCAGCTGCAAGCAGAGCAGAGCAGGGTCCGTTGGCTAACCAGTGGGGCACGCTCACATGCACTAACATGCACTAAAAGCACGCGCAGCCAGTCTGGCTATGTCAACAAATCAAGGAGAAGCTTGGATAAGAACACACACAGAGGGAGAGTGACTTCGTACTCCATCGATATATTTACATTGCAAATTGGTTACTGCTATGTTAATGCTCTGAATGTCGAATATGGCACATTTAATATCATTCAGACCCGTTTCTGTGACTCGAGAAAACACTGTGCAAAGATGTGATACGGATGCAAGCAGACACAGAGGACAGACCTGCAAATGGAAACAACAAACTGAATCAAAGACGAGTATAAAATGAAGAAAGAGATTTTCTGACCTTTGTTGTTGTAAACATCCAGGTAGTTTGGTGCTGAGAAGATGGTAATGAGGGATGGGAATCCAGTGGTCTGACTTTTGCGGTACATCCGGTAGCTTTGGCGGTCAGGTGGAGGTGGAGACAGAAAAAAAAGCAGAGCTTGTTTTTATATATGTAAATGTGTGTCTATTTGTGTTTGTGTGGATATGTGTGTCTTGTAATGTGTGTTGTAGGGATAACGTACCCTGCATCTTGTGCTTCATGAGCTCGAATAATAGATAATAGGTTATTGCTCTGCAGGAACTCGCATACAGCTGGATAACTGGAAAAGATTTAATAAAAATGGGGTTTAGAGACGTCACTGAGAATGCTTTTAATGTACTGTAATATTAAAAAAAGAGTATGACAGAGAACAAATCAATTAAGCACACAGAATTTTTAAAATATTTTCATTTCCACCACACAACTGAACTTCATTCATACTGCAGGTTACTAATTTCACATTCAGTTTCACTCACCAGAAAATGAACAAAGATGTATCACTCGTGAATGCATTCATGAAAGCCTGGCTGAGGATGATGCAAGGGTGTGAAAACCAATCCAACAACTACCTGTTGCAGTTAAAAACAAACTAACCCCGTATGAGCTTCGGTTGGAGCTTCCTGCCCCCAGCTCTAAGCTGACAGGAAATGTGCCTGAAAGGAGGGGAAGCCTGCGAGGTAGCTCAGCCAAACTGAGCGCGATGCTACACTCACACATGACATAACATATAAGCAACCCATACGTATATATCCAATGCATATATTATATCATATTTCAAGTTGTCAAGTCATAATGTTGCCTCAGGACAACCTTTGGAAAGTAATAATATTGTTTGCCACACCTTTCCTGCTGCTGCGGTCCAAATTTCCCAGGTCCATTTATCTTGTCATACCGTTTCTGTGTGTAGTGGTAAAATACAATGCGAGTATTGAGGTTTTTTCTTGTTTTTTTGGAATATATATTTCACCTTATATTATTGCAATTGTTTTTGTTCTTCTGATGATTTTGATCCCATTGATCTTTTCTGTTCCATTAAGTATTTTATTGTGATATTTTTGATCAGGATTTGTTGATTGGGATTGTTATCTCTCCACTGGCTGCATGCCGAAGTCGTCCTCCATGTTTGTCTGGCCAGATGGACAATGAGCTGTCCCACGGAGAAAGATGATAAAAAAAAAACCACATGACTTCCTATCTGACAGTTCAGACTATTGCATAGTGATGGAGCAGATATGGAGCAGATGTAGGACCAGAACTTGTCTCCAAAGAAAAAATGAGAACGTAAGATCCCGCTGAAAAACATCCGACCTGTGTCACACAGGAGGGACATGTAATCAGAACTGGGACACTTCCAGCTGCAGTGTGAATGTAGCCTTCCATTTCGCAGCCCTCACCACAGTTATATAATACCTAGAAGGTTGTGTTATGTCATTCACTGTATCTTCCCTTCAAACTATGTCTCCTGGGTTAGAGGAAAAAAAAGATTATGAATTACAATTTGATTAGCTCTTTTAAAATTGGAATGCCCTCAATTCAGAAACAACTCAATCTGTCTTAGTTTAAGTCCTTTGTGATTCCTTTATTTCTTCCAGCTGCTGTAATCCAGATAAACATCAGACAAGATAAAATGTCCTCAGATCCGTCAGTCGTTAGTGCCAACCCACTTACAAAATGATGCTGCTAACATTTGCTTGATTATTTAATCAAACTATCTTTAACTATCTTTCTAGGAAATGTATTCTTTAGCGACTTTGATAATTGTTAATGAGGTTGAATGAACACTGCATAATATATGTTCACTAACAGCTGTGCAGCCTGTCAAAATAGTGCTGAACAAAGCGCTAATGAAGAAGACACTTACAGATGCTCTGGGTGAAAGCTTTAGCCAAAAGCACCAAATGTAAAATATAAATCATACACGTCCTCGACTGCACTGCAAACACCACAGATTCTGTCGGTGCAAGGCTTTCGCACATCAATGTTCACTTAAAAGAGTTCAATGGGACAAATTGAAAGACTATTATTAAAGCTATCATTTAGAGATGTGAAAACCTTTTAGTCTCAATCTGCTAATTACTGTTTGCAATGATCCATATTCACTTATTCACTTATTAGTACAGCACTGCAGATAACTAATTATTTTTGTTTTCAATTAATCTGCCAATTTTTTTTATTCATCTATTATGCTGATAAAATATCTTGTGTCGTTTGACCAACAGTCAGATATTAAATTCATTTGTACATTACATTTGTCCTTCATTAATGATCGTAAATGATAATTCAAAATTATTGATTACTTCTCTGACCATTGACTGATAATCAACAAATGGCTTCAACCCCCGTCACTTTTATTTTTTCCAGACCTACAGTAGCATACAGTACATGCTCTCCCAGCAACAGTCCACTTTCTTACAGTCACTGCCATCCATGCACCCATCAAACTTTCACAAGTGTAAAATATTTAAGTGCTCAAAGGTTTGTACCGGAAGAAAAAAACAAGGAGGCTGCTGTGTGCCCTGAGCACCTGGCGAAACTGTGCCATCCTCATATATCTAGGTCACATGGCTAATATTCCCTTGGTGGCCAGTATATAAATTACAGGAATAGCTGCGTTACACACTAACATGGATATGCTGTAACCCTTTCCACTATGGCTGACAGTACACCCTGCTAGAACTGTAAAATGTAAAACACACCAACGGTGCTTTTCTGACTTAGAAATAAGGGCAATTTTTGCATTACACTTTTCTCACAATTATCTTTTGCCATAGCTATAAAGCAGTATTTTCTGTTCCTTGTGCACAGTACTGGCACAAATGTCATGTAATAACATAAAAATACAGATCCCACCGTGCACTATGTACTAATTTATTTCTTGGTCCGCTCCAACGGTATTTATTGATTACTGCGAGGGAACACGGTACACACACATTGCTTGCCTGCGGCTCACATTCCTTCTCTCCCCTTTGTGAAAACACACAATTATGTGTCGGTGAGCCTGTGAGCGAGAGAGAGAGCGAGAAATCTGACAAGTTGAGTACGAGCGAAGGAGACAGAGAGAGATGGAAGTGCTGTGTTGTGAGTGTGAAACTGAGAGGTTTTTTCTTTCCCTTAAGAAAATCCATCTGTCGGGGCTGGTGGTCATCACATTCATCGCCCCCGATATATAAAAACTCTTAAACTTTAATTACTGAGCAGAATCATATTTTGTAATTACAATTACTGCACAAGAAATCAGACTTGCTTCATTTTTTAAATAATACTATATGTTCTGACAAGGTTACATATTGTGTAACTTAACATGTAGTGTAGCCAGTATTATATGAAATAGACTTAATACAAAGCCTTATGTGTTAAAGCATTACAGCATCACTACATAACATCATCAGAAGTCTGCAACAGTGCTTCCAGATGAATACGATGTATGATATAAAAGCTTCTTTAAAACACTGTTTTAGTATTTTTTTTATCTCATCAAAAGAGGGGGCTGGAGAATCTCCTATTCCAACAAGTCTTCTACAATATATCCGTTCAGTTGTTGTCAATATAAAGATACAATTTAATAGAAAAAACCAAGAGCAGCCCGGCTTGGCATGTACTGTAGAAAAGGATTTTACAAGTTACGTCTATTTCTAACATTCCTCTCAGCTCTGAGGAACAAGCAATTGCATGGCTACGTGTGAACAATGCTCGGTATTGATTTAACACACGTAGAGGGAGTCAAACAATACTGGCCAATGCATCCGTGTGTGTTTGCGTGTACAGTTCATGTATTGGAACAATCAGTCATTGTCAGTATAAAGCCTAAAGTCAAATAACCAAACTATATTTGATTGTATTTTATAGGACCCGTTTTTTTCTCAAACACATACATTTATCTCAGATGGAGATTTTCTTGCATTTCCCCAAAATCCCCAGGATTCTCTGTGCTGCATACATGCCGTATAGTTGGCAAGAGTCATAATGATGGAGAGGTAAGTTTGAGAGTGAAGGCAGAACAAAGCCATGGGGAGATAGATGACTATTATAGCAGCATCCTCCACACATCTACAGAATAATCCTCACTAAGCTCCTCTCTCACAGTGAATAGATGGTTTCTCATCGGTGACCGTTTAACAGCAGTAAAAAGGGGAAGTTAAGACTCAACAACTGCTTCTTTTGCTTTTAGAAGAAGATAGAATAGAAACCCTTTTTATTGTCATATACATATACACAAAATTTGACCTCTGCATTTGACCCATCCCTGTAGGGAACAGTGGGCTACCAATGACAGGCGCCCGGGGAGCCGGGGGTTCAGTGTCTTGCTCAGGGACACTTCGACACATCCCAGTCGAGGATCGAACCGTTGACCCTGCAGTTACCAGACAACCCTCTTAAGCCAGTGAGCCACGGTCACAACAGTTTGCTTTTGTAAACTCACAGTAACAAGGCGATCTTGCCTCTGTGGAAATGTATACCATGAAACAGAAAAGTCTGCACTTAACACGTCAGTGGAACTTTTTCATCATGAGGCAAATGTCACCCTTGACCAGTGGTGTATAAAGTACCCAAAAGCCATACTTGAGTAAAAGTAAAGATACCTTACTGGAAAATGACTCCAGTAAAAGTAAAAGTCACCTATTAGAATACTACTTGAGTAAAAGTCTTAAAGTATCTGATATTTATTGTACTTAAGTATCAAAAGTAATTTTCTGATATTAAATGTACTTAAGTATTGAAAGTAAAAGTACAAGTAAATGCTGTTAATAAAAAAGCAAAGGGTCAGAATTTTGAGAATTATGAAGTTTATTCTTTTAAGTGCTGTGGCACCATGACCAAGGACATGGAGCTGTGTTGAAAATAATTGGGTTGGCTGTGATCCATCCAGGAGCAACAATGTTCAACGTAATATATTGTACATAAGTATACTTTTGCATCTAATATGAACTTATCATCATAATTCTACTAAAAGCAATATGACACTATGAAGGAGTTGTAACAGTGCGTTTATAAGTATGCTCATTCCAACTAGAGGATGTAGAGGGCAAATGCATAATATTGTGTTCAGCAAAGAATATCCACTTGATGCATCAGGTCAGTGTTGTGAGAAAGGACGCCTGCCTTGTAAACTCCTATGGGCCTGATTTGAACACAATAGGCAAAGGTTTTGCTCAAGCTGAATCTGCTACCATCATAACTCCATCTGATCATCCACTAAATGACTCAAATATCAAAACATGATCAATACTAAAGCAGCACCGAAAGTAACAACCCAGTCATTACTGGAAACTGAAAAATGTCCTGTTCATCTTCAAAAGACAATTCTACTACATGTAGCTTCTTTACATTCTATTAGAATGTAAAGAAGCTACATTGTAT